ACACACACACACACACACACACACACACACACACACACACACACACACACACACAATCCCAGCAAGCTGCTTTGAAGACAAAAGAACTAAATATTTATATTTTTAAAAAGATCATAATCCCCTAAAACATCTATGCACAAACTTTAATTCAAGATGGATCATGGGCCTAAATGTAAAATATAAAACTATAAAACCTATAGAAAAAGAAAGCATAGGCGAATACCCTTCTGATCTGGAGATAGCAAAGATTTCTTAAGTAATAAACAAAAAAATTGATAAACCAGGGTTCATCAAACATAAATGCTTCTGTTCATCAAAAGACTAGTAAGAAAAAAAACAGGCAATCCATGGAAGATCTCTATCCATAACATAAAAAGAACTTCTACAAAACTATAATAAAAAGACAAACAACCTAACTAAAAACTGGGCTATTTTGTTTGTTTTGTTGGTTTGTTTTTGTTTTATACGGCAAAGGGGAAGGAAAGAGGTGGACTGACATGACTTCCTCTTTGATAGAGGTTTCTGGAGCTGAGTGTGTGGACCTGAGTAGGATCTGAGAGAGAGAACTCAAAAAAAAAAAAGGAAGGGGGCTAAAGATGAACAGACATTTCAAAAAGGAAGATATAAAAACAGCTATTAACACCTGAAAAAATGTTTAACATCATTGGAGATGAAGGAAACGAAAACTGAAACTTGAGGTACCATTTCACCCTCACCAGAATGGTTAAAATTAAAAAGACTGACAACACCAAATGTTGGTAAGGATGTGTACATGGCCAAAGGTAGGAGAACTATTCAGCAATTTCCTTAAGTGATAAACCCGCATTCACCCATCTCCTTGTTTTTGTCTTTGCTACAATTCTCTCTGGTGCTTACAGTGTTCCTGCTTTCTTCCTTCTGCCATTATGCTTTCTTCCTTCTTCCCCTCATCTAAACTGTACCCATCAATTTAATGGTCTTCCTGCTCTGGGAGATGTTACACGGTCTCATGAACACAAGTGAAGGAACAGCAATTTTTTTTTTTTAATTTGATAAACGACTCTAAAAGCTGTGTGCCAGTGACATCTGCCAGTCTCTTGCTTTCAACTATTGGGCCAACAGACATCTTCACATTCCATTGGCAGCAAATCCTTCAGAAAAGTCACTGTTGCCTGGGGCTCCTGTTTAAGAGGCAGTGAATGAGGACTTTATATTTTTCTTCATCCCTAAGGGTCTCTTCTGTGATGCAGATTCTGAAAATCCTGCTGAGGATTAATATTCTGTGTCAGCTTTTACTTGAGGTTTTACTTTATTGGGGCTTCATTTTCTTTTCTTTTAATAATGTTTAAACATTTGCTAGTTTATAGATCATTTGACAAATGCCCGACCTAAGGGGTTCTACACTTCTGATCTCAGGACGCAGCAAATTGGCTGAAAAGTGAGATTCTCACTTCCCAAGCCCAGGAATCAGGCAGTCAACTGATGAACTGAATGATCAGCAATCAACTATGACCACTTTTGCTAAAGAGAAGGCCCGACACTTAGAGAAAACCCTGAGGAGACAGCCCTGCCCTGTGCTCTCTGGTAAGAGATGTTGGGGAAGATAGAGACATGGCTTGTGGAGGGTAGAGTCTCTACTTTGTGGGCTATAATTCCTGGGGGCCTTTACAATTACATCTATGCCTGGACTTCACCATAAATCATTTACATAAGACATTCTGAAATGGGACCCAGACATAAGTATGCTTTCAAAGTTCAAAGCAGACAGTTAGCTTAAGGCCAGAAAGAGATAGTGAAAGGAGTCTTCTTGAATTCAGTGACTGAATGAGAATAATTTTCCAAGTTATACCTGGAACAGTAGCAAAGGTTTCATTAACTGCAAAATCCTAGTCAAGAAAGATGTGATTTATACTTTGGTCTAATATGTCTATAAATCTCAATCTTTAGATAGTGCAGTCAATGTTTACCATCTGCCTACTATGTACCGTACACTATGATACATTCTGTGGACCTGGTAGTAAGCAAGGCAAACATGACCTTTGTCCTCATGGAGCTTACAGTTTGACTGGGAAAGAGATGTTGAGCAAATCATTAAAAATAACAGATTAAACAATAATCAGTATGTTAAGGGTTTCAAAGGAAAGAACTAGGCATTATGAAAGTGTAGTCACAATCTAATTAGCAGTTAGTATAGTGATTCTGTCTGTATGCTACTACTTATTTCATGTAAATCAGTTGGGAGACTTTAATTATGCTTAAAAAAAAGGGGCTTCCCTGGTGGCGCAGTGGTTGGGAGTCCGCCTGCTGATGCGGGGGGCGCGGGTTCATGCCCCGGTCCGGGGGGATCCCGCGTGCCACGGAATCTGGGCCCGTGAGCCATGGCCGCTGGGCCTGCGCGTCCGGAGCCTGTGCTCCACGGCGGGAGAGGCCTCGGCGGTGGGAGGCCCACGTACCGCAACAAAACAAAACAAAACAAAAAACAGTTAAAAACACGTGGGATAGTTTTGAGAAATCCTGCCTAGAAATCCAGGGCTGGAGAGTCTCTACAAAAAGCAAGTCTTTATGTAGAGAAAAGAAAAGTTCCTCTTCAAGGTGGACAAGTGACACTTTGAGCAGCACTGGCCCAGAATGCCAACTCAGGATACCCGGAGTCTGCCTTCAGTATCCCACGTCTCCTTTTCTGGATCTCTCTCCCAAATTTTGTGCGCTCCATTACCCTTCTTACTAATTCTAATAGTCACACATCTAATCTCCAACCCTCCCCTCTCTCCACAGGGAAGAGACTGACAGGTGGTGAGGTTTAAAAGGTGTCCCAAGGCCCCTCCCATTTAGTATCCTAGAAAATACTCCCCATTACCTACTATAATGCAGTAGCTCAGATCAGGGCAGGATGGTGACTGTGTAAATTAACCCATCTATCTACTGATTCAACACAAATTTATTGAGCATTTATTATGGGTCAGGCACAGGTGGTTCTGCAAACAAAAATAATTCCTCTTGGAGCTTATGTCTGAGAAGAGAGATGAGAAATAGCACATATTACGTTAGATAGTGCTAAGTTAAGTGCTAGGAAGAAAAAATTAAGCAGGGATGTTCCCTCAGAGATGACTTCCAGATAAGAGCCTGAAGGAAGAGGAAGAGCTTAACCACACAGATGATTGGTGTTTCTTAATAAATGAATTATCTACTGTGGGGTAACATTTTGCCGGAGACTTCCAAGTACATTATTTGATTATAATCCTCACAGCCACACTGATAAGCACTGTATTATAAGCCATCCACTCACCACTCCCCCTTTTTTAAAACAAATATGAGACTGAGGTTTGGGTTTACTGGAGGTCTGTGACTTAACCAGGGTTCAGAGGCTCCAAACACCACCTTAAGAGATGCCGCTTTCTTTTCAATACTAATAATTTGTGTATTTTTGGATCTTCCACATACATAATCATGTCAGAGTAAATAAAAGCTTGTTTCTTCTTTTTTCATTCTTAGGCCTTTTATTTCTCTCTTCTTATGATTATGGAACATACAATGCTGAATAGAAGTGGCTTGCTCTGGGTCTTAAAGGTAAAGATTATAGCATTAAGGATGACAGTTGCAGTAGTTTTGCATTCATGTTTATACATATATATGTCTATATATATGCATGTAGATATGCATCCTTTATCAGAAAAAAGAATGCTTATATTTTCATTGTTGTCTTTTTTCATTTATTATTTTTTAATTGAAATGCAGTTGAGGTACAATATATGTTACAGGTGTACAACATAGTGATTCACAATTTGTTAAGGTTATACTCCATTTATAGTTATTATAAAATACTGGCTATATTCTCTCTATTGTACAATATATCCTTGTAGCTTATTTTATACATAATAGTGTGTACCTCTTCATCCCATACCCTTATATTGCCCCTCCCCCTTTCCCTTTCCCCACTGGTAACGACTAGTTTGTTCTTTATATCTGTGAGTCTGTTTTTGTTGTTTTTGCTGTTATATTCACTAGTTTGTTGTTTTTTAGATTCCAAATATAAGTGATATCATACAGTACTTATCTTTGACTTATTTCACTTAGCATAATACCCTCCAAGTCCATCCATTATCATTGCAAATGGCAAAATTTCATTCTTCTTAATGGCTGACTAGTATTCCATTGTATGTATATATACCACATCATCTTTATCCATTCATCTGTTGATGGACACT